AAATTTGATTTGAAATGTTATGCGCAAAGAAAACTCGATTTAAGAGAATTGTATTAAAAAATTCATAAGTTTCGAACAAAGTCTCTTGGAGATATGAGACTTTCACGAATTAGACCTTTCAGCGATAGCTTATATAAAACATACATGTTTTTGAAATGTTCATATTTCAACAAGAGTTTGTTCAAAGCTTGTGAATTTTTTTCATGCAAGGTAGTCTAGTTGAATTCTCTATATGTGACAAGTTTCAGATCAAAATTCGCAAATACAAGTTCTCCAAAAATCTAGATCCTCTAGAAAAAAATTCTTTTAGAGTTTTTGTTAGAACTCTATTTAATATCTATAGACAAAAAATTATAAAAATCGAAAAGAGACATTTGAGTAGGTTCCATCGTTATCAATGGCAATGTCAACTTTTCTCACATGAGCTACAAAAAAAAAAAAAAACTAATCAAATTACATTAAAGATAATATTCAAGTTATTTTTGCATCTTCATCTTTTCTTCACTCTTATTTTCCTCTATTTATAAATCTTCAATAAATTGACAACAAGACTATCAAATTTTGATTGAATTCATATTATTCTTTTTTTTAACAGTTAAATATGTAAGACGATCAGCATAAAATTTAAAACCACTTCGACATGTTGTACGAGAACATAAAAGTGTATGAAGTTCTCCTAATTGATTATCACATATTTCTTCATTCGTATCATTCCCTTCTGTCGATAGGTCATCAACTAAATAATTGATATTATTTTCAGGCAGTCTTCGATTCGGTCCGAATCAGTCCTTTCGCGTTTCAGTCTCATTTGATGATTTTTCAGTTCGATCCCAATATTATCAAATACAATGGCTCATAATTATTTTTAATAGAGTAGAAAATAACTTATATGATATTGAATAACAAGCTAAATACAAAAGTTATCAACATTTATAACTCATAGATACTGACATATATATAGTAAAAAAACAGTTCTTTGTTTTTACTTCTTCATACGTTTCGTTTTTACAGTTTTACCGCTTTGAATTGCTAATCGTAAATCTGTCAGTCTACCATCGGTGTGTCCACTGGGAACAACAAGAAGTTGTGCATGACCTTACACGGCAGCGCTATTCGGTGCTGTCTTAATACTCTCATTTAATAGTATATTGAAAACTTTTCTAATCAAGTACAAGTGTATTACGATGTCTAGTTGTTACTGGCATATTACTTGTTGTTCGTCTTTTGTATTCAATACATATTTCTTAACTATGATCACTTATGCGTCATCTGGTTTAAGCCGGACGATTATATGCATTCTGCTCCAACCAATGACCACTAGAAAATGGATTCTTTAAACGACTATTCATGAAAATGGCAGAAGACTTATCTTCTTTTAATTTGGTGAATTATGAACGAACTGGAAAGGGACCGAATTAAGAAAGAATCCAATCGAGATAAGATCCAAGTGAGAGATAATCAAATGAGACCGAAACGGGGGTAAACCTTATTTTCTAGTTTAGTCATTTATAAAAAAGAAATCAAGAATAACAAAAAAAAATAAATTTCCCATTTTTATTTCCCTAGTTCCAAAAACTACACGTCTTGATGTAATAGGAATATTAATTGATGAACCGCGTAATCAACACCTACATCAGATACAGCATTTTTTATTAATCGAAAATGATACACTTGTATGTTCAATAAATAAACGCAATAAACCAATTTTAATTTGTTTTATGTCAGATATTTGTTGTAAAATTTCGTTTGTTACTAAATATAAAACTACTTATTTTGGTGATAATGTTAGAACTTTTTGACACCATATTATCTAGAAATTAAAGATAAACTTATAGAATTTCACCTAGAATAAAAAACCTTCTTCATATGAACATCAACATGATCATGATAGTCGAATATAGATGATCTGAAGAAAAAAAGACAACAACAAAATAGAAAAAACACAATTTTATGTCTGTTGGAATATCATTCATAAATCATTAAAACAGTGTACAAAGCTCGTCGATCAGTAAGAACACGTTCAATCAAACTGAAACCAATAACTGCAAGAACTCTTAATAAAGTAAACAAAAAAAGTAATAAAGTATTACTTGAATAATCTTTCGGATTTTAAAAATCTTAATAAACGTATTTCATTAATGTATCACGTAATGATACAGATAAAGAGTTGACAGCATCTGAAATTTCAGTTGGTTTTATTTTTATCATTGTTAATAATGCGATATGAACTGCTTTTTTTCTATAAAAACTATGATTTATATTATCGATTGAGTTATAAAACAATGAGATGCATTCTATTTTAAATTATATAAGGAAACTATTTAAAATGTTCGTCTCCTAACCAAGAGGTTTGTACTAAAAGAAAGAGACCAATCGATTGAGAACTTTAAGTTCTGTCAGTTTCTAAAAGCCGTTTTAGTTTTAGAGACTGGTCTTAATCTTCAAAACCTGATTTTTATTGAGAATAGGCAACGAAAACACAAAAAAAGTGAAATTTTTCAAATTCCATCATATGTTGCTCATATTTGAATATATTTAGAGGCTAGAAAGTTGCGAAAATTCTTATTTTACACGAAATTCAATTCTTTACAAGCTTAACTTCAAAAAAATTCAACAATGAGTATGAAGTAGCAAAAAGTGATCTTTTTTAGTAGCTCATCACAGTTTGAAATTGAATGTTTTTTTAAGTTTTTTCTCGTGCTTTTTTTCATTATCTATCGATTGATCTCTTTTGTTTTCACTTGGGTACAAATCTCTTGATTAGAAGATGCAAAACATTCGGAAGCACATAAATCTGTTTTTAGGTGGAGAAAATTATTTTAATCATGAAAAATTTATACAGATAAACAGATTTCCGTCTAGAATATATTATGTAGCCGATCTATCATACTATCTATATCACTATTTTGAATCAGATCTATACCCTGTAATGTGAAATAAAATCTGAGATTCATGACTCGAATCAATTATTCAAAAAAAAAATCGTCAATTGAGAATTTGACACTAATATCATTTTCAGAAGAAGTTGATGGTTTTATGTAGCAAGAAAGTTTAGTCACGACACTCTAATTCATACTATTTATTAATCAACTTGCTAGGAAAATCATATGTGTTTTCTCAAAGCAAGTTTTTAACAATTACAACAGTGGACAAAAGTTCTTTACGCTAACAGGTTTTAGATACCATAGGTACCCGAGATCTGAAACTTTTTATGCACATAATCTATAGAGAATGTAGATCAGGATCGCCAGCTTATCCCGATTACTTAAACACAATGGGAATTATGATAGATAGCAGTTATTTTGCCTTTGAACTTCATATTTCTGAAAAGAAAACCGGTTCCTGATTAAATGTAGCGATCCACACTATTAATTTCATCAAAGTTCATAAACTCTTGTTAGAATGGTTGCCATTTTACTATGACTATTAGAAGGACAACAAACTTATTAATGCCTTTTGTAGACTGTAGCTCAGTAATACTTCAACATCTTCTGAATAGAAACGGCATGTCAATAATCATTGCGTTCGTACTGAAGCCTCATAGACATCTAGAGGCGGCAATCTTCCAGCAAAATACATGGTCATTTGGATGACGAAGGATCACATATTGTCATAGAAAGATAACGTAAGATTGCATAGACAGCAAATTTTTCACTTAATCGGCAAAAAACCAATAGAAAATCTGTTGGTTCAATTACAGAATTCAACTAGTAAGAAAGCAGGCCCTCATATTTGTCAATTAACAAACTATTTTCTTTCAGAAAAGGTTAATTAATACCACTTCACAAAGAGATTGATTTAATGTTTTATTTGAAAAAGTTATTTAACATATTTGAGGGTAGGATGTCATTTTGTTTTTAGTTACCTTGAAAAGTCAAGAAAAAATAGAATCCTTTTTTGAAGAACTTTACCTTCCGTCAGTTACTATTGCCAATAGCAAAACTGAATAAGATACAATGTTCGATTTGGAAATAGATATCGTTTCTTTAGATTTATTTTTATTGAGAACTACTTTTTTTATTAAAATGTGCATAGTATTAACATGTGGTATAACTTTCACATTGCAACAATATTTTGTTCTGGCATCTAGACAACTAGAATGTAATCTGAGAATTTCTGACCATTAAGAGTTTTTCACTGTCAGTGCAGAGCAATTCAGAAGTAAGTTTGACGTTTTCAGATGGGATATTGACTAGTTTACATCTTGTTTAGGTCCTAAAATGGTGGGTCGCGCTATATCACAATTTTGAGGTAGAATTTCGATACCGACTAGAAATTTATGTGATTTTGCCTGGAGAGAAATCTCATTTAGTACTAACTCTAATAAAAGATTCAGCTCTCTAGCTAGTTTCTAACGCTCAGGAATCGACTCTCGACTTCAAAATGAGATAAGTTTATTGGACAAGTTATAATTTCTTTAGCATTTTCTTTCTGGAGATGTAAATATATGAATAAAATTTCTCTTTACACATAATTTTTCGAATATAATTTGAAGTCGATTTTTCACGTAACTTTAAGAGATTGCTCACTAGTACTCATCAAGTAAACATCGTCTTGGTCAAAAAAAGTTTTCACAGTATGGACTCATTGCCATCTCACACCACTGTAAACTCTAATATACTTCAGAATGTGGTTGATAGCTTCGGTCATCGAAATGAAGATCGACACATTTATAAATGTTTCTAATAAGATATTTTTAACAACGAAATGATTATAATATGTGTGTCTCTGATGTTTGAGTATTTTATTGTTAATGACTAGATAAACGACAAAAAGAAAAGAAAAGTAATATAGCAAACACACAAGTAAAATCTACCATACGTCACACATACATATAAAGAGCAATTAAAAAAAAAGAATAAAAACTCATCTCATTGTTATAAAGTTCAAAAAGTTAAAGTGCAAATAAAAGAGAGAAAAAAAAGAGAAAAGAAAGAGAGAGCGGTATAACATATATGTCCAATTGACACACATGGAAAAAGAATAGTCTCTTTATGTTTTTAAAGTTTCTTTACTTGGGCAAAAAATCCTGATGGTCCACCAGCTGTTTGTTTAAATAAATTTGCATGACATACAGCACATCGACTAACATATTGTCGTTGTGTACCAGCTTTTAATGTACGTAATTTTGGTTTTTCAAATCCAGTATAATCATCTAATGTAGCTAAATAAAATGTCATCATGTTTGGATAATAATTGCAATGTGAATGATCTTTGCAATGAAAATATGGTCGATCATGATATTTTTCAAGACATGAACCAGGTGATTGTAAACTTTGTTGATCACCACGACCACCATCAGCTGATGTAAATACAAAACTATAACCAGTCCATAAAAGATCATATCCATCGGGACACGTTGGTACACGTTGTGATTGACTATGAATTGCAAATACAGGTGTTGATGATTCACAAACAACACAACGACTTAAATGACTTGGTATATCACGTGTTTCAAATGGTGACATACTTGCTGACATTGGTTCATTTGTTGATAACCAATATGAATAATCATTACGTGAAGCATAATGACATGAATTACCAATATCACAAAATAAGAATGGCATAGCACTAAAACGACGTAAACAACTACCCGAAGAACCTATTTAAAATAAGAATTTGAAAATTTGTTGTTTTCTTTTGTCTCTAGAGATTTTACCAAGATCTTGATGGGCGGCATATGTATCACCTTGAATACCCATAAATGAATAACCACCATCTTGTAATCTAGTTGTTCCATGTGGACATTGTGGAGTTGTAGTATCTTGGCTGTGTCTACAAAAAAGAAATCGATGATAATTTATTTATTTCAATTTGATTATCACATACCGTGCAAATATGAATGAGCCATCACCAGCGTCACCTGGATAACCTGGAAGCCCAACAGTACCTGTTTACAAGAAAAAAAACAAAAGAATAAAATTATATTTGTTAATTTGCTAAGAAGAGTCCTCCTTGCACTATAGTTCATTGAATTTATGATGAGATATAAGAGCCTAGCCGAACCGTACTTTAATACTCTCAATACAATTTTCTTTAATGTATCGAGCTGAAAATCGTTTTATTTTTGAGGAGGAACCTTTAATTTAAAACTTACCTGGAGAACCGGGTGAACCATGTAAACCAGATCTTCAAGAAAAAAACGAAATTCATATAAATAATAAATAAATACTACAACTTACGGTCCAGGATAACCACTATCACCAACTGGACCACGAGAACCTAACGAACCTGGACTGCCTATAAGAAAACAAGCGAAACAGTCATTGATTGCATTTCTTTTTTGTTGAAGTTATTCATTTACCTGAATGTCCTGGAAGACCTACTTGACCTGGCAAGCCTTTCGGTCCAGGATAACCTGTTTGGCCTGGTAGCCCAGGGGCACCTAAAAAACAAATCGTATATGAATATTGAAGTGTTTTGTTTTCAATAATCTATTTGCTAACCAGGAAATCCTTGTTCACCACGTCCACCTTTAGGACCTGCTTGTACAGTAACCTATAGAAAAAAAAGGATAATTCTTGTAACAAGAAAAAAAATGATTTCTTACCGGTGCAATAGATGGTTCTCCTTTTGGACCTGGTAAACCTGGACGTCCATCAGAACCTGGTAAACCTATAAATTAAATGAATTTCAATTCCGTGTATTAGAAAAATATGATTGTAAAACTAACCAGCATCACCCATTGCTCCTTTAGCACCCGGAAATCCAGGAACTCCTTGAAGAAACAAAAACAAGTTTCAATAAAACTTATGTCTTCTTAAGCAAAAGAATAAGACTTACCATTTGTGCCTGATTCGCCTCGTCTGCCGGGAAGACCTGGATTTCCAATCGGTCCTGGTTGACCCTTTATAAAATGAAATATAATTTAATCAAAAAAAAAACAAATAGATTTTTGTTACCGGTAATCCTTTTGCACCTGGAGCGCCTGAGATACCAGGAAGACCACTTGCACTGAGCGAACCCGGTAGACCTAAATATTAATAAATTCTTGTCTGCATTATAAGCTCCATAATCAATATACCTGGTGGACCAACTAAGCCTGGTTTACCATCTCTTCCAGGAAAACCTGGTGCTCCTGCTCGACCAGGTAAACCATCTTGACCACGATCTCCCTGTGGACCTCGTCTACCAACTGATCCTACACCTGAAAATAATTAAATGTTTGATTAGAACAAATTAATGTAAATAAAAACGTTAAAAAAAGAAATGACATACCATCACGACCTGGTTGACCTGGTCGACCAACGTCACCTGGTGGTCCTCTGGAATAATAAAAAAAATGAGTTTAACATACCATGGTATCACAAAACTTACTTAAGACCTGGCCGACCTGGAATACCATCACGACCTGGCTCACCACGAAGACCAGGCAATGAACGACCACCTGAAATAGAAGAAAATACCACAGGATTATATTAAATTAATTCAAGAACGAAATATGTTTTACATACCACTTTCACCTGGTAGACCTTTCATACCAGGACGTCCCGGTAATCCAGCATTTCCTTTAGGTCCTGGATATCCAGGTGCACCTAAAAACAACAGAAGAAATGCTGTAGAATTCATGCTTTTAATCATAACGCACCCTGTCGTCCAGGTTTGCCTGGTATGCCAGATAGGCCTCGTTCTCCTCGTGCACCGGGATATCCATCACGACCTAGAAGAAAATGACAAAATAATCGATTACATACATAATAATTCTTTTCATTATCTTACCTGCTGATCCTTGTGCACCGGAAAGGCCTGGAGCACCCTTTAATAATATGACGAACAATAACATTCCAGTTTATCAATAATGAACTTACCGGAAGACCTAAATTAAAATATTGTCAAATACAGAATTACAAAAAAAACAGGATATATCATCTCATACATACCAGCATCACCAACTGCTCCATTAAGTCCTGGTGCGCCAGGTGCACCAGCATCACCTGGTTCTCCTTTTCGTCCTAAAACCATATAATTATCATCAAAGTTAAGAGAAAAATTTTCAATTCATTTTTATTTACCGATTGCGACAGCTTGTCCATCTCGACCTGGTTCTCCAGCCATTCCTTTAAAACCAGGAAGACCAGGTGAACCAGCACGACCGGGCATACCCTAGATTTCGAAAAAAAAAGCTTCAGACTTAAATTCAATACAACTTTATTTTCGAAACTTACGCGATCACCAGGTTGTCCAGGACCTCCCGGATAGCCTATATATATAATATTAGCAATGATTATTGCACACTCAAATTAATATACATACCACTGTCGCCTGGTTTTCCTTTCAGTCCAGGTAATCCAGGAGCACCTGCGAGACCGGGTAAACCTATCAATGAAAAAAAAGATATAATATTATCAATGATTAAGTTCAATTGTATCACTTTACCTGGAAATCCAACAAGACCTGGTTGTCCTCGTGGTCCGCTAGGACCAGGTGAACCAGGCTAAATAGAAACAACAGTATTGTTATGCAAGAATTTCTAAAAATAAGAACTACATTTATACTTACAATTCCGCGAAGACCTGGAGCACCGGGAAGACCAGGAAGACCAGGAAGACCAGGTTCACCTCGTATACCTATAAGAAACATTAAGCGTATATATATAGTTTTTAGCCATCACAAATTTACCAGTAACGCCTTTGAACCAATCACCCATTTCACCTTTCAAACCTGGTAAACCGGGACGTCCTAGAATAAAGAATTATTGTAGAAAAAGAAATTAAGCTTGTCACTCATGAGTTGAATAACTTACCATCACGACCAGGTAAACCAGGAGCACCAGCAAAGCCAGGAAGACTACAATAAGACAAAGAAATTTAATATAGAAATAAAACTTTTATATAATTTCTTGCTTACCCAGGTTCACCTGGAGGTCCTTGAAGACCAACTACAACATAAATAATGCATAGTTACATTTAACGTATTTTTCTCTCTTATTTTTCTGTATACGTACTTGCGCCAGAGTCGCCTGGAAGACCTTTAAGACCCGGCATACCTGGTAGACCAGTTTCTCCTACAATATAAAAACTCTTCTTCTTCTTTTCTGCTTTATTTATATACATTTACCTATGTCTCCTTTTCGACCAGGTGCACCAGTACCACCGTCAAGACCTGGTACTCCGACATCACCTACATAATAAATTAAAAATAGTATTCATTAAATTAAATTCATTTTTTGAAAGAATTTACCTTGATATCCTTTAGGACCTGGTAGACCTGGAAAACCATTTGGACCAGGACCGCCAGGTAATCCACCTAAACATAATTTTCATCATTCGTATTATTTTCTCAAACAGAAGTTCTATTTTCACTTACGTTCACCAGGAATACCAGGACGACCTTTAAAAATTAAAAACAATGAACCAAACTGTACAAAACAGAAAAAAAAATTAAAATAAAAACTTACCTTTCATTCCCATCAAACCAGGATATCCAGGACCGCCATGGTCACCACCTATTTTTATGAAGAGAAAAAATTTTTAATCTAAAAATAAACTCGAATAACATGTATACATACGTTCGCCTGGTTGGCCTGGAAAACCTGGTGAACCATCATGACCAGGAAGACCCTATTTATTAAGATGTACATTGAAAGATTGTATTTATTTCATTAAAGACATACCATATCACCAGGTAAACCACGAAGACCAGGTGCACCAGGAGAACCTGGAGCTCCAGCTCGTCCGGGAGCTAAACGAGGAAGAAATTGAGTATATGCATCAAAATTCTATAGAAAGTATTTACCACCAGCTCGACCACGAGCACCAGGAAAACCGACATCACCATATAAACCGGGTGCAGTACCACCTAAAAAGAATTCATATGTGCACATTTTTAAATAAATATAATAAACATACCTCTTTCTCCTTTAGGTCCTTGTAGACCAGCTTGTCCAGGAAGACCATTTACACCTATAAGCAAAATCAACTGTTAAAAAAAATCATTCATCATATTATAAACTCACCTGGCATGCCTGGTACACCACGTCCACCAGGTAAACCACCTAAAATTATAAATTATTACAAAATAAGATTATTTAAAATCGTCAATAACTTACGTGGTCCTGGTAAACCAGGGGCACCACGTTCACCAGTAACACCCTTTGGACCTGGATAGCCTTGTGGTCCAGCAATTGTTGCAATCGCAGGTTCACCTCGTTGACCCTATGTATAAACAACAAGTGTATAAATTATGATAAAGATTATTCTATGACATTTACTTTGGCGCCTGGTATACCGGGTGCACCAGGAAGTCCACTCATTCCAGGAGCGCCAGGTCTACCGAATAAGAATAACGTAATATAAATAAACATAAAAAGCAATTTTCCTACCGTCCTTCAAGACCAGGTCGTCCATCAAGACCAGGGTAACCTATATAAAATCATTAGAAAAAAAAAACAGGACAAACTTTGTTTCTAATCTACCTTTGACACCATGTTCTCCTAAAAAGAAAGATTATATCATCATATGATGTGAATATGATTAGTTCAACAAACCTGGTAATCCAGGAAGACCAGGTCGACCATCTTCACCCTAAATACATACAAACATACATTTGTTCATTTGCAGATTTAAGATAATAAATTTTCTTCTTACCTTTGGACCATGCATACCACTAGCACCAGGAAAACCATCTCGTCCAGGTAAGCCAGGAGCACCTTATTTATATTTTAAATATTAATAAAAATTACTCAGAGAAAATTTTATTCGATTACTTACCAGGTAGACCCGAAGTACTAGAAGAAAGCAAAAAATAAAGCATTGATTTATATGATTTTTAAACAAATATAAAATTTTACCCAGCATCTCCAGGAAGACCTTTCATACCGGGTGGACCAGGTGCTACCTCCGATATTGGTGCATCATCACCAGGTAGACCAGGAAGACCAGGTCGTCCAGTTTTGCCTGGTGGACCTTGTTCACCTATGTCACCACGTGGTCCACTTGCAAATATTTGTCCGGGCGGTCCAGATTGACCTCGTGGACCTATTAATAAATATTAAAAATAAAATTAATCAATGTTTTGCTATTATATAAACGTTAAATAATTTACCTTTCGCTCCTGAAATACCCTGAGCTCCTGGTCGTCCAATATCACCCCAAGAACCCTGTAAAAAAAATATTTGTATATATAAATAGAAAATCATTATCATTTAAAAATATACTCGTGCACCAGGAGCACCAGGAGCACCGTCATAACTGAAATTCAACAAATAAAAATATTACAATTATCTTTCTGAATCAAAATCATATATACCCATCACGTCCATTGACACCAGTTTCACCAACGTCACCATGATAACCTTTAACTCCAGGTTCACCATCTGCTCCTCGACGGCCTTTATTAAAAATATTAAATAAAATAAATTTTTTAAATATTCATGCTTACCTTTAATACCATCAGCACCGATCATTTCGCCAGGTTCACCTTTGCGTCCTGGAATACCTGGATAACCATTTCGACCCGGAATTCCCTTAAATAAATTTTCAGATCGTATATCAATAACGATTCATTGCAATTAAAACTTTTTTTTTTTGATAGAACTATTTACGTACATCTGGCCCAGGTAAACCAGGAGATCCAGATTGGCCACTAGGTCCTGTATCACCTTTTCCACCTGAATAAAAACAAATATAATTATATTTTTTTTCTAGAGATATAGAGGATTTGGCAAATAATCACCTCGAAAACCGGGTGCACCATTCAACTAGAAATAAACAAAGATTTTTGTGGTTGATGAAGCATATCATTTAAAAACTACTTACACCAGGTCGTCCACGATAACCTACACTACCACGATCACCTTGAAGACCAGCAACAGCAGGTGGACAAAATCCACAACCGCCAGATTCACCTTTAAAAAAGAGCACACAAAACAAAATAAATTGTCTTATAGTTTCTTCCAATATACTCACCGACATCACCCTTTTGTCCAGGAACACCTAAACAACAAAATATGTTTTTTTTTGTTAAAAAATCTTGCCAAAAAAGAAACAAAGTCAAGTTACATACCAGGATAGCCTGGAGTACCGGGTTGACCTGGTCGACCGGGGTATCTATAATAAGAAAATATAATATAAAGTAATACTTAACAAAAAAAACATTATTCACCCTTGTGGACCAGTTGGGCCATATCCTAAACACAAGAATTACACATTAGAATATCATCAATAGAAAAAAAAAACAATATATGTTTTTCTTACCTTGATATCCTTGAAAACCTGGTTCGGCAGGAAGGCCTTACATTTAAAAAAAAAATTATTATTAATATGATCGATCTATAACAATACTTACCTGGTAGACCTGGTTCACCACTATCACCTGGAGGTCCAACCAAACCGGGATCTAAAGAAGTCAATAGATAACTGATGTGTTTTAACATAAAAAAAAAAGATAAACTTACAGCCAGTACGACCCGGAAGACCATTATTTCCACGTGGACCTATATAGAAATGTTTCATTTTTTAGAAAAAGAAAAGAAATATATATACATACCGTATGTGTCTTCACCAGGTAATCCTTTATCACCAATGGCACCCTTCTCACCCGGAGTACCTAATTTAATTAAATGGTTATAGGTAAAACGAAAAAAAAAACAAATTAATATTACCAGCAGGACCCGGTAGTCCAGGAGGACCAGGAAGACCTAAATAACGAAGAAGAAAAAGAAAAATAATATTATAATGAAAAAAAAATATTCAACAACTTATTACATACCATCAAAACCTCGATCGCCCTTTTCTGCATCAGCTGTATCTCCCATAGGACCAGGTCGACCAGGTGAACCATAACCACCTCTTTCGCCTTTCATTCCTTCAAGGCCTATAAACCAAAGCATATGATTATATTGATTAATCATTAGGCGATTATTTACCAGGTAAACCAGGAACTCCTGCTAATCCAGTTGGGCCAGCATCACCTGTCATTCCCTAGAAAGAAAATTATTCAAAACAGAACTTCAATTTAAACTGTAAATAGTTAATATATACCGGATAACCTGGTGGTCCAGGAAGTGGTCGAGCTCGTCTAGCACCATAAGTCTACACAAAACATAACAGAAATAAGAATCGGAAAAGAAAACTTTCATTTCTTACATTTGGACCTTGTTCACCAACGTCACCACGTTGTCCTTTCGGACCAGGATATCCATTTCGACCAGGTTCTGCAAGATAGAAAAAAAAACGCAGCATGATATTACCATAGTCTTTCTCTTATTAATTAACTTACCGCCAGGAAGGCCATCAGCTCCAGGTGGACCCGCTGGTCCTAGAAGACAAAAAAAAATAGGAAAACTTAATACAACAATGATCTAAAAAAAATAACAACAGACCTGTTGTTCCTTTGACACCAAATGAACCTTGTGGACCTTCTTTACCAAATTTACCCTATTTTTTTTAATAAAGGACAGTTAAATATATAAAAATTGTCTATCATTAAATTTACTTGTGGACCAGGTGAACCAGATTCACCTTTTTCTCCTTTAGGTCCTTGTAAACCATTGATACCCTATAGAAAAGAAAAAAGAAATATTTCTTATTTTAATAATTATTGCATAACTTTACATACATAGTAGCCTTGTTGACCACGTTCTCCTTTATAACCACGATCACCATCTGGTCCACGTGGGCCTGGTGGTCCTTCTACATTTGTAATACCTTTGAAAAAATAGATTTCGTATTATTCTCAATGAAATTAATAAGCTGATTATTTGATAAAAAAACCCAAGCTGATAGTGAATAAGGATCACAGAAAAAAATGTCGGTTGTGTCTGAGTCGACTGCTCCCTGGGTATCGCTATAAAGCTCAGTAAAAAAATGTGTGTAATAATAATAATAATAGTAATAATAATAATAATAATAATAATAATAATAGTGGTAAAAATAATATTAAAAAAAAGCTGAGAACATGCGAACGTTATTTTTCATTGGAATTATAGTAAAATAATCCGTTCGCGTCCGCCCCCTTCATCTTAGTTCTCTTTTAAAAAAGCATGGAAAGGTAAAGCTTTATTATTGTCTTATATATTAATACTTACAGGGTCTATTTCCACACATTCGATCTATTAAATCCAAGTAAGGATATCATAGCAATGAACAAGCAAAAACGATAGAAACGCAAAATTTCACTCAAATCTGGTCTAAGTCCAACTGGTAGTATCCTTTTTTGTTCCTCATATGTTTTTTAATATGATACCCTAAGAAATATTCATACCTCGTAAACGACCATATGGAACTGTGCTCGCTGACGTAGGAGCATTGTCACCTAAATACAAAGAAAATATTTTTAGAAAAACATCTTTTCACTTCGTTCGTCTTTTTTTGCCATACCTGGCTCACCACGTCCACCTTAAAAAATGAAGCAAAAATTAATTGTATATTGTTTACAAAGAGAATATTTTATTTACCTTTGATACCATAGCTTGGTTGACCAGTTGAACCTGGCAAACCTGGATCTCCTCTTAAACCAGGTGGACCCTGAAATTTAAAAAAATCGATCAAAATGATATAAAAAAAAGAGAATATAAAACTTACATCTGGTCCTGGAGACCCCACTGAACCTGGCATACCGGGAGGACCTGGAGGGCCTGGCCAGCCCTATTAATTAATCTATAGTAGTATACCTTTTTTTCGTCAATTTATACTCACAACAACACCTGGAGGACCAGGAAAGCCTGGATCACCGCGTGGTCCAAGTATGACACCATTAATGCCTACTGTTTCACCTGGTTCACCCTAATCGATATCATTATGATTTGTTACTTCAAGAAAAAACAAATTATATATAATATCTTACTGGTTCACCAACTCGACCAGGTGGACCGGGAAGGCCTGAACCACCTTCTACAACAACGCGTCCAGGTTCACCAGGTTCACCCTATAAAAGAAAAAGAATACATAAACTGAGATTTTTTTTTTTCATTTCCATGTTTTTTTTTTCATTTCAATGTTTTTTTTTCATTTCAATGTTTTTTTTTTGTTCTCTTGAGATCAATAGATGAATAATACTATTAATTTATCATTATCTGTATTTTGTCTACTTTTACATATTACTCAAGGACAAAATGTTGTGTTGATAGATAAAGTCCTTCAAACTGTCAACAACAATTGACCGTATAGTATATTTTTCCGATATATATATCCATGATAGGTGCACAGACATAAATAGAACTATTAACAGAATTCATCAATCTTGCTGTGTCATGACAACTGGACCTTAATCTCCAAAAAAATATTGTTGATATTTTCTAAGCTTCTATTACGTCGTAAGCTTAATATACGCTTGTTATCCTATCAATCATAGCCAACAGTCACTGACAATGACATGTAGATTAATGTAGATAAGAATAAGATAGTATTGTTGTGTAGAGAGAAATATTCGTATATAGTCAAAAGAATGCCTTATCAAATTAATTAATGATGAATATTTTGATTCCTAAAATAGTTTAACTTTTTGTATTATTCATTTGATGACGTTATCATTACTAATGAGTAACTGATTATGTTAGCTATGGCGGAGAAGCGTAGGTGGAACTTTTTTTGTTTTTATTAATCATAGGCTAAAAGTTTTTGGCAGCTGTTGTTTATCGTTAATCATCCCACGTTCTTTCAATAATTGTCTTAGTATGTATACGTATATTTGTGAATGAATAATCCATTTAACCGCAATAAGCCATCAAGGGCGAGAGACAGACATACAAAGACAAAAAGAAAACATAATATGTTGTTGTTTGTTTATATAATCCTCATTTTTTTTCTACTTATTTATCAATCCATATGAAGGAAATTTGCAAGGACTCATGCATAAAGACTAAATCAGTTAATTAGGACGTCTGGAACTTAAGATAGAATATGCGACAAACCAAACACATATGCGGTTTCATTTATCTTGACACGAAGCACTTCTTATCAAGGATATAGATTTGCTTTTTTTCTCATGTGTCTATATAGAAAAACAAGAAAAACAGACGTCGTTCTAGCATATTTTTCTTATGTGTTGATATGTCTTGTGTTGCCCCATCCTTGATTTATGTGCGATTAGTGCTTATCTAATCAAGATGAAGAAAAAGAAGAAAAAAAAAGACTATCTGCCTTCTTATATCTGTAGTAAATACGCATACAGGGACGTGCTATCTAATATATGCTGCAATGTTTTTTTATTTACCTTGCTGCCATTGCATCCTGGCACACCGGGAATACCGCGTGGACCCATAGCACCAGGTTGTCCAGGAAAACCATTTTGACCATCAATGGGCAATAAACCATCATCACCCTAAGTTTTGATGAGAAAAAATAAAAATAAATAAAAATAAAAAAAATAAAAATAAAAAAATTTACTCGTTCGCCTTTGGTACCGTATAAACCACGATCGCCTTTTTCACCATGAAGACCTTGAGCACCTGGGCCTCCTGAAGGGCCTTTTAAGCCACGTTCACCTGGAATACCGGGAAAGCCTGGTGGACCTATAAAAAAATATTACAAATAAAGAAATAATGCATAATCAATTAAAAAAAAATTTAATTTTTTTTTTCTTTATTATGAAGAAAAAAAGATTAACGCACCAGAAATACCCATAGCACCCTTTCCAGGACATTGGCAATCACGTCGTGGACCGCAACCTTTACATTCTGAACCTTGAATATATGTATCATCACCATATTCCGATCGAGTCGGTCTTGCTGGAACTCTATTAAGTCTATTAACTTGTCTTTTTACTCTAACATCCGAATCGTCATTATCATTTTGTGCCTAAAAACATCATCAAGACAATGAAAGTTAATAACTAATACTAAATCTCACCGTTCGACTTTCAATTTGATTAACAATTGTCAAAAATAAAATAAAACCGATGATAATCGACCTCAATAAAGAAGCCATCGTGTGCGCGCGAACACAGACGCGGCTCACGAATATTTAAGATTTAATCTATCTAAAATACTAAACAAAAACGTTTTTCTAAAATATTCTATCTTACCATAGAAATTCAAGTAAGAAAACTTTTACATAAAATTTGGTAGTTGACACGTTTATACGATGAAAAAACGTGTTCAGTTCTCTTAGTTAGTTTATAACCGCAGTAATACTGAAAGGACAGTAATCCGCCCGAAAAAAAACAAGTTCGAGCTTTCCGACATGTATTTTTTTTGCTTTTTCCCTCTTCTCTTTCTCGATTTTTTTTCTATTTTTTTGTGTCTATTTAGGGTAGACGACAACAACAGTACGAGCAATAAGAAAAGTCGACGACAATCATCTTGGGAACAAATTATGCGGGGCGAATATCTTTCTCTAAGGAGAGAAAAAAAAAGATGTCTTGTGTATATTTGTATGCAGTATTATATATGTTATCAATTCTAGTACTCTACAGAAACATCAGAATTAGTAATATATAGTCAATATTCATCTTTCATCTGTACGAACGGAATAAAAAAAAACCGCGTTTTTCTGGTTGGTGGATTTGAGTGTCACCCCCTTTCGACTCTCTCGTTTTTTCTTTTTACCCCATCTCTCTCTCTCTAAGATTGTGGTAAGACAGTTTGTATTATTGTATTAAAGAAAAAAATAGTCCAGTTTTTGTGACGCTGGCATTTTTTCTCTGCGCTTCCTCGCATTCGGTCTTTACTCGCTCGTTACAGACCATACGACGACGACAGGACAGAACTTGTAATTGTCCGTCGCCGCTGCAAGATTGCGCGTGACTCTTGGCAGCAATTATAAAGATGCATCTAACTACAAATATTTCAAAATCGTCCAATGCTTGGACTATAAGGTAAGCAATTAAATTTTCCTTTTTTTTATTCTTGTTGAAAAAGAAAGAGATATTTAAAGTTATAAAAAATAGGACTTATACCTTGATCTAAGTGTAGATTTTAGAATGAGGTAGCTCTATCAATGATCGGTTCGCTATTAGTCTGCTGTTTTCTTATTATCAATAGATCATTCATAAGAATTTTACGTTTATGATTATTTCATACATATTGTTATTGACACAAAACATATATAGACAATGATAGTGTTGAGTTTTATTTTCATATTGTATGTTGCATAAAAAGTATTGAGTTATATTTTTGTCTACATTTTATATTTGTCATTTTGATGCTAATATCATGAACTCCAGCAGAGAATGTGTATATTACGAAAAATAACTTGTTTCCAGATATTTTTTTTTCTTTCTAATAGACCTACAAGGTGACATAGAAGTAGACAAGGTTTCTTATTTGTGATGACCACAAAATAAGAGCGATATAGGAGACAAGAGAAGGACAAAAAAATTTATATCAGCAGATCTAATAATAACAACAACAGCAGAAAAACATTATATCCCGTGTCTGTATGAATAACTGGGCATCATTCTTAATTATTCATCGTATTCTTTGTCACAAGTTGAATTTCTTTTTTTCTCTTGTCGATGCATTTGGTGATATTAGGCGGAAATATCGTGTTGTTCGTCCTTAGTAGTTTGTCTTCCGTTCTTTCATGCTAATAGATTATTGAGATCACATCATAAATCCTTGGCTTATAATTTTCCTTTTCTTTCTCTTGTTTGTTTGATTACTTACTTTACTCTCATCAGTCTGCTTTCGTCGTTCTGTATGATTCTACTATCGTCTTGTACAATAATACTACGTAGTTCTTCTTCTTTTCTGTACACTATTCGAGAATTATTAATTATCGCACTATGATAGCAAACAGCAATGGTACGAAGGACATTTTGCTCCGATGTCTATGATGATAGTACCAGACAACAGCAGGAAAACAGAAGGACTTTATCGCTGCTGTAACTGACAGTAAACAAACTGTCGTCATCGAACCGTTTAACATCGACAGCTAAAGAAATACATAGAAGATATATACCGCACAAGTTCTTTTTCTTTCTATAAGCCATTCATAAAACCGCATACTTAATGTTTCCAACGATAAACATCAATAACAAATGGCCATGTTTGAGTATTCCCAAGTAAGTTATACTGATCATTGGTCATACGGTATCATACATCATATTGTTGTACTTGGATATGCACATTTATCATTTTATTGATTTGTCTAATAGATAAATATGATCAATTAGGAAAATGCCGAACGATTTCTTAAAAACATATATATGTAGATAAACATAGATCTATTGTTTTTTTCACTAATCTGCATTGAAGGACAGATAGAAACATTTCTTATCTATGTGAAATCAATTGAATTATTTCTTTTTTAGGCTAAACTATGCTTCCATATTAATCGTACTTATCCTTGCCATTTTCATTGACTCAAGCAATGGTCAACAAAGGGTATGTTCATATATGTACACGGATTTATAATCCAATCATTGAACATGAATACTAGTTACAAGAAAAAAAAATAAAGCCTTCATATAAATGTTCTATTATTTATTTTCTAGTACCCAGATAATCGTCCGGTAGCACCACCACCCGGTTATGCATTTGCACCAGGCTATGGTTCAGCCCAATATCAACCCCCACGAAATGGCAATGGTAGCAATTGTGACAATTGTAATCAACCATGTTTTTGTATAGCACAAAAAGGAGATCAGGTATATATATAAAATAAATAAGAAAAATATTGTTATTCTATGGCATTAATATATTTAGGGTCCATCTGGCCCAATGGGCCCCCCTGGTTCTCGAGGATTGAATGGTGTTGGTGGTCCTGAAGGTATATTATTTGTGCATCTTATGATATGAATAGAAATTTTACTATATATTTAATTTGTAGGACCTGAGGGTTTGAAAGGAGAAAAAGGTGAACGAGGTTTACCAGGCTTACCCGGTCAAAAAGGTGATAGAGTAAGTATTGTTGTTTAATATATTAAATAAACTATTGATAATTATTTGTTTTTTTCAATAAATAGGGACGATCCGGTGAACCAGGCATGCCCGGTATGAAAAAGAAAAATGAAGTTTTTTTCTTCTACTTTTTATATCTATGGAAATATCTTTTGTTTAGGACATCCCGGTTTGCCCGGTCTTCCAGGCCCAAAAGTGAGTTTATAGATTAGTCTAACATTACATATATATAATATTTTTCTTGTTTTCTTTTAGGGACCATCCGGTAAATAATCAATATTTAAGAGAAAAGATATAATGAACATTTAACTTTTCAGGTTTACCTGGCCGTGATGGATGTAATGGAACGAAAGTAAAATAATTAATAAAAACTGTACGATTGGATTTTATATCTTTGTATATTATTATAGGGAGAACCAGGTCGAGATGGATATAGTGGACAGGTAAAATTTCTTAACTGTTTTAAATTCTGAAAAAGATCTAATTTATTATTTATTTAGCCTGGTCGTCATGGTGAACCTGGTGCGTATATGGGCACAATCGATGAATTAAAATTTTTCTAATGTTTATTTATTTTTTTCTTCTTTATTTTTCAGGTCCCCCTGGTCCACGAGGTCCCAAAGGTATGAAACAATGATTTTAATAATAAAATTTCATTTTGTTTTTTGTTCAATAGGTGAACCTGCCCAAGCTTTACCTGGATTCAAAGGCGAAATTGTAAGCTTACAAAAATATTTACATTCTTCATTAATATATAAATATATCATTTGTCATTTTTAGGGACCTCCCGGAGCTCCCGGTCTCCCTGGTGCTGCTGTATGTCTTTACTAATTTTTTTAGTATTTTATCGATAATATTCTTTCATTTTCTAGGGCTCTTCTGGTAATCCTGGTATTCCCGGAGCACCAGGCTCCACTGGTTTCCCTGGTCGAGGAGTAAGTATCGAGATAATGTCTTTTCTCTTTGAGTGCTATGAAAATGGATTTTTCTAGGGTCAAAAAGGTGATCGTGGTGAATCCGGTCTTCCAGGTATAATAAAAAGAAGATTCAATGAATATTTATATGTTCTATTAACTTGTTTAGGTGCACCCGGTGCTGGATTTAGTGGTGAAAAAGGTCAAAAAGGAGAACCAGTAAGTATGAATATTAAAAATGAATATTACTATTCTTGAAATTCATTTAGGGTTCATCTTCTCCCTATACGCCTCCAGGTATAGAAGAACAACAAGGTAACACCAGTTATATCCCATTCTCGGTTACTGGCCCCATGGGTCCAAAGGTAAAAGTTTGTTTTATGTTAAAAATAAAAGCTCATGTTTTTTTTTGAATTTATTGTTATTGATAGGGTGCTATGGGACCTAAAGGAGAACCTGGTGAGATTGGTTATCCTGGTGCTCCTGGTTCTGCTGGACCATCAGGTTTATCCGGTGAAAAGGGTATGCCAGGACCTGTTGGACCACGGGTCAGTATTTTTATGAATAATTTTCTGTTTTAATTAGTCTATCTTTTCTTTCTTAATAGGGTCCTACTGGATTACCTGGTCAAGCTGGTTTCCCTGGACAAGCAGGGTATGACTATTTAATATTTAGTTAAAATTTTATCTTTGTTTTTTTATTATTTCAGAGATCGTGGTAGTCCTGGTTATCCTGGTCAAGCTGTATGTGATTTGTTCAATAAGGAAGAGAAAAAAAAATGTTGTCTTTATTTATAGGGTAGCCCAGGTAGACCTGGTCAAAATGGTTTACCAGGAGAAAAAGGTTTGCAGCGATTGACTATAGTGAAATAAAAAATAAAAATGTATATTCTTTTGTTAGGTGATCGTGGTTTTCCTGGTATGCCTGGCATGTGTTTAACTGTAAGTTTAGGGTTTTTTTGTCACAATGAAATATTTTATTAATACACTTTTCTTTATAGGATCAAGCAGATGGCGTAGCACCTGGACAACCAGGACCAACAGTAAGTTAAAATATTAAATTATTAGATTCATATTTATTTGTTTGTATTTTTATAGGGACCTAAAGGAGAACGCGGTAAAGGATTTAACAAGATTTTAAACAATCATTGAATATAATGTCTTTCGTTTTTTAAGGCCCACCCGGTGGCCCAGGCTTTCCCGGTGCCCCAGTAAGTATTTATTATATAAAATAAAATTTTATTCATATAAATTCTCAAAGGGTTTACCTGGCCCACAAGGTCCAACAGGTGATCGTGGTTTTGATGGAGCTCCTGGTAGTCCCGGTCAACGTAAGTGTTGCATTTATTAATGATATAGTTCGATTAATTTTCTTTTTTTTTGTCTTTCAGCTGGACGTGATGGTGTCAAAGGAGCTACAGGAGATAGTGGACGACCTGGTACGAAAATCAATAATTAAAAAAAATGATTCTCTCAATGTATATATATATATATCATATTTCAGGTGACCCCGGTCCAGCTGGATTCCCTGGCCCACAAGGTTAGTTAGAATAATGAAACAAAATATTACAATGATTAAATACACTGAATCATTATAGGTTATCGTGGAGCTAAAGGTGAACCAGGTCCAAAAGGTAAGTGAAATAAATGAATTAGTCTTTCTTTTTGGAATTTACAAAATTGTGTTTTTTTAGGTGAACCCGGTCGTTCAATTCCTGGCTCGCCCGGTCTTGATGGTTATCCAGGCCAATCTGGTCTTTCAGGAGCTAAAGGTAAAAAGCTAATCGATCAATGATTAAACTCATTAATTGTTTGTTCCGGCTAGGTGAACGTGGTCTACGTGGTCTTCCTGGTTTACCTGGTAATTCAACAGCTGGTGTTGGTATGCCTGGCCCTCAAGGACGTATGTATTTCATTATGAATTTATATTTTTCAATATCAATTTGTGGATTTTTTTTCTAGCAATCGGTCCAGCAGGTAGTCCAGGTGGCCCTGGTTTTCAAGGTGTTCCTGGTATGAAAGGAACTAAAGGAGATCGAGGTAAGGTTTATTTATTACCAAAAGGAAAGATATCTTGATTAAGTTCAATAACTTTCTTAGGTCTTGATGGTGTTTGTGGTAGTCGTGATGGTTTGAAAGGTAGCAAAGGTGAACCAGGTTATCCAGGAGAAGCCGGTAAATAAAACAATATATATTGAATAAATATAAACATATTATTTATAATTTTTTATACCTTTAGGAACACCTGGTCAACGTGGTTCACCAGGTGAAAAGGGTGATCGAGGTGATGTTGGTTCACAAGGTTATCCTGGTAACATTGGTTCAGCAGGTGCTCCCGTAAGTATTAGAAGTTTATATTTTTTTTTTGTTTATAAGAAAATTTTTGAAAAAAAAATAGGGTCGAAATGGTTTGGATGGTGAACCAGGTGGTAAAGGAGAAAAAGTAAGTTTGATTACGATTGAATTAATTATATCTAAGATATGCTGTTATAGGGTGAACCAGCTCGTGTTTCATCAGTACAAGGAATGTCAGGCGAAAAAGGAACACCAGGTTAGAAATATTTTTTTTTTGAATCGAAGTTATATTTATTTGAATATTTGTTTATTAATAGGTCTTCCCGGTTTGAAAGGTGATCGTGGACAAAAAGGTAAAGATTCATTTAATAATTTGATTTATTCTAAATATTTTTTTGTAATGTTTTCAGGTTCACCAGGTTATAGTGGTCGTGATGGTCAACCAGGTGTTATGGGTCCAGTAGGACCTAAGGTAAATAACATATGTAAAATCATTAACAAAGAAATAAAGTCATTTTTTTATAGGGTGATGCTGGTTATCCAGGCCAACCAGGTCCACCAGGTAGTCCAGGTCCAATGGGTGATATTGGTCCACCAGGTGCTACACTTCCAGGTGAAAAAGGTGAAAAGGGTATTCCAGGTCCAGTTGGTGAGTACAATCAATCTTTTCTTTTTGCATTTTATATTCCTTTTTTTTCTTCAATCAGGCATTCCTGGAGCACCAGGTCATTCAGGTCAAAAGGGAGAACCAGGTATGAATAAATGTTAGACAATACAAATGATTATAATTTTTTTTTTATTTTATTTAGGTCGATCAGGACCTTCAGGTTACACATCTCTACCAGGTCCACAAGGTGAAAAAGGTGATCGTGGATTGTCAGGTCTTCCAGGTGCTCCAGGACTTCCAGTAATACTTTTTCTCTAATATAAAGTAATTCAATATATTAAATCGAAATCTTTCTAGGGCCCTAATGGCTTACCAGGCTTACCAGGTGCAGCTGGCTTAAAAGGTGAAGCAGGTCAATCAGGTCTTCCAGGTCTTCCAGGGCCAAAAGGCATCACAGGTATGACAACAAATAAATATATTTACTGTTAACTCTGATTCATGTTTTTTTGTTTTAGGTTATCGTGGAGAACCAGGTACGTTTCGACTTTTTTTAATATTTACGGTTGCAAAACAAAAAACGAAATAATATTATTTTTCATATAGGTGGTCCCGGTCGTGATGGATCACCAGGTCTTCCAGGTCCTAAAGGATTCGGTAAATATCAATGAAATAAATTCTTCCCCTTTTTTTAATCTATTTACAATCGCTTCTTTTAGATGGATCACCAGGTTTACCAGGTCGTCCAGGTAGGTTATTACATATTAGATCAATAATATTTGAATTAATTATCTTCTTTTTTCTATAGGAGAAAAAGGTGAACCAGGACTTCCAGGACCAGGCTTCCCAGGTAAGTGACTTCTTATATATGGGAAACATTTTAACAGTATCTGTTATTATAGGAGCCCCAGGATCCGTTGGTTCCCCAGGTGAACGTGGATTTCCAGGTATGATTTCATTGTAATTGAAATGATGAATGTTCACACGAATATCTTTAATTTTTATAGGTTTACCAGGACCAGCTGGCGAAAGTGGATTACCAGGCATTAAAGGTAAATCTATTGATTCTTTTGTTTTTTAAAAAAGAAAATTTTAATATAATTCTATTAACAATTTATAGGAGAATCAGGCTTCCCAGGTGCTAATGGACTTCCAGGACCAGTAGGCATGAAAGGGTATCTATCTATGAAATTTCAATGAATACTGTTTGACTTTCTTTTACTTATAGTGAACGAGGAGAACCAGGTTATGGTGGACAAAAAGGTGATCAAGGTAAGAATTCGTGAAAAACAATATGGTTTAAATAGATTCTTATAATCTTTTTTTTTTTATAGGTCCATCAGGTCCCCCGGGTATTGATGGTAAGTTTCACACAAATATTTGTTTACTTATTGAATTAAACGATGCTTTGTTTTTCTTTTATAGGTTTACCAGGTACATCTTTTAGAAAATGTTTGAATATAATAATAAACCTTTTTTGATCATATTTCAAGGTCTTCCAGGAGCAATGGGCCAACCAGGTGCCCCAGGTCTATCAGGAGAAAAAGGTTTTTCTGGATTACCGTAAGTTAATTGAATTTTTATCGATTAATACTAATTTTTCTAATTTAAATATCAGAGGATCAAGTGGAAAACCAGGCATGCCAGGCTTACCAGGTGCCAAAGGTGAACGTGGTTTGAATGGAGGACCAGGATTGAATGGAGCACCAGGTTTATCAGGTGAAAAAGGTGTTCCAGGCTTTCCAGGACCCTCAGGGCCCAGTGGATTACCAGGCATTCCGGTAAAATGACTAAACAATTTTGATAGTTTCATTGTCTCTTTTTTTCTTTCTTAAGGGTGGTTCAGGACAAAAGGGTGATCGAGGTAAGATATTTGTTTTCATCAAACACTAATTCTTATATTCATTTTTTTTTGTTTAAAGGTCACCCTGGTTCACCAGGACAAGCATGTACATCATGCGTTCAAGGTGCACGAGGTGACCGAGGTTACCCAGGTTCACCCGGTCTATCAGGTCAAAAAGGAGAACCAGTAAGTTTACAAAATAAAGAGAATGTTTAATTTTATATTCAAAAAATTCAATAGGGCATTTCAGCTTCACGTGGAGCAACAGGCGAACGGTAACATATGAAAATGATTTTCGTTTTCTTTAATCTTTTCTTTTTTTCTGGTTGTTAGTGGACCACCAGGTCTTTCTGGCGCACCAGGTCTTCCAGGAGCACCTGGTAAAGATGGTTTACCGGGTCTTCCAGGCAGTAAAGGTGAACGAGCCATTGGTCAAGCAGGTAATGATTAAAATTGTTTCTTTGATTATAATAAATATTTTCTGTCGTAATTTAGGTATAAAAGGTGCTATTGGTGAACCAGGTCTTCCAGGTCCAACAGGTCTACCGGGAACACCTGGTGAACGTGGATATCCAGGTGGCAATGGTAAGTGAGAAAAATGTATACAATTGAAATACTTATTTTCCATTTTAGGATTACCTGGTGCACCGGGTGAACGAGTAAATAAAAATTTTTTAACTGTTATGTATTGATTTTGTTGTCTTTTTTTCTTCTTATAGGGTTTACCAGGTCCTTCAGGATTACCAGGTAAAATAAACAAACTAATTAGTAATATAATATTTTACTAAGGATTTTTACAGGTCCTTCTGGACTTCCTGGTGCTCCTGGACAAAAAGGTAAATTAAATAGTTAATTAAAAGATAATAAGAAACGAAAGAATCTTTATAGGTGATAATGGATACAATGGATCACCTGGACAAAAAGGAGAAGCAGGTCCATCTGGTAAGAGTCATAAACCTGTTTATTTAAGATCAATACAATATATATATATATATATTTTTTTTTTCTATTAGGTTTGAATGGACCACCAGGCATGAACGGTAAATAAATACATCATTATATAAACATTCTAAAAAAATTGTTACAATTTGAAGGTATGCCGGGAGCCAAAGGTGAATCAGGTCTACCAGGCCGTGATGGTGGTGTTGGCATGCCAGGTCATAAAGGTGAACGTGGTGGAAACGGATTTCCAGGTATGTTCATTCAATATTTTTTCGAACTGATTGATCTGATTTCTTTACCATATGATATAGGTGTTCCGGGCGCTAAAGGTGCTGCAGGTTTAGCAGGTAAATGATTTTTTCTTCGTATAAATATTGATATATATCTATTGTTTTTAATTATGTTTGATATAGGTTTTCCAGGTGCACCCGGTCTTGCTGGTCCCCCAGGCCAACCAGGCATTAATGGACTTCCAGGACAAAAGGGTTCGTATATTAAGAATGAATTTAAACTGAAATGATTTATTGTTTTTATTCATTTTTACAGGTGATTCAGGTTTACCAGGTTTACCAGGCGCAAATGGTAAAGTATCAATTAATAACGAAAAATTGTTTTATTTTTCAATTTAAATCTATATAGGTCCACCGGGATTAAATGGTGCCCCTGGTCCTGCAGGAGATAGTGGTATGTATGATTAATACATAAAAAAGAATGAATTAAAATATTTTTTAAATTGAATTATAGGTATGCCAGGTATGCCAGGTCAAAAGGGTGAACCAGGTAAATATTTTAAATTAAATATTCTATTTCACTTAATTATGTTCAAATTTAGGTTATGCTACTGCTGGACCCAAGGGTGAACATGGTCCAAGTGGTCGTGATGGTAAGAAAATATGATAATCGAATAAAATAAGATCTATTCGTTTGATTATTCCTTTTGTTGTAAACAGGAATGCCAGGTCTTTCGGGAGAGAAAGGGTAATGTTTAACTAATATAAAACAAGAAATCTTAAATGTAATTATTTTTTTCTTTGTATAGAAATCCAGGTTTTAGTGGAGCTCCTGGTGTTCCAGGTCGAGATTGTGATACACCTATTGTTGGTCAAGTAAGTCAATAAATAGATTAAATAGATAACTAAATATTTATTCTTGATGTAATTAGAAAGGTGATGCTGGTATACCAGGTCTCCCAGGTCCTCCAGGTTTACAAGGTAATTTTATCGTATTTTATTCTTCTCCTTTCATTTAATTCATCTTGTCTTGTTATTGATAGGTGCTCCTGGTGCACCAGGCAAAGATGGTTAGTATAAAATATAGCTTAATCTTTGAAAAGAAAATTATATTTAATAATATTTTAGGTCTTCCGGGCGCTCCGGGTCTTCCTGGTTTATCAGGTACAAAAGGATTTGATGGCGCACCAGGTAGAAATGGTCCACCAGGTCCTCCAGGTATGTTTATTAAAATAATAATGAAACTATTATAATAATCATCATTTATATCTTTAGGTGAACGTGGTTTTGCTGGAATGCCAGGTTTGTAATGAAAAAGTTGTTAATTAAAAATTTTATTTATATTTTGTTATTTGCAAATTTAAAGGACAACCTGGTTTACCTGGAGAAAAAGGTAAGATAATGATTTGAAAACGAAATATAATAATTATTTTGATGCTATTTTTTAGGAGGTCCTGGCTTCCCAGGTAGTCCAGGTATTCCCGGAGCAAAAGGTGATCGTGGTTTCGATGGACGTCCCGGTTCAAACGGTTTACCAGGTAATTTTTATACTTTTGTTTTGAAAAAAGAACATCAATTTCTTTTTTGAAATAAATAGGTGCACCCGGTCCCAGAGGTGAATGTGGTCCAGCACAAGAAATCCGAGGCATCCCAGGTCCCAAAGGAGATCAAGGTCCAGCAGGATTTCCAGGTAATAAAATAGATTTGAATGATTTTTTTTTTGTTACCCATTTTTTTTTAATAATTTAAGGCTCACCAGGATTACAAGGACCACCAGGTACGTGTATGAAACCGATTTTCTTTAATTAATTATGTATATATTCATAGGTTCACCTGGTGCACGAGGAGACAATGGTCCACCAGGCCAACCCGGTCAACCAGGTTTACCAGGTTATGTTGGACCTAAAGGTGAACGTGTAAGTATATTGAAAAACAAAAAGAACAACTTTTCCAAATTTATAATTATATTTAGGGTAATCCAGGTCTTCCAGGTGTAAGTGGTATTGCTGGTCCACCAGGTACTACAATTATTAATCATTGATAATAGTTGTTTTTATCTTAATTAATTTTCAGGTGCTAATGGTCCTCCTGGTCCACCAGGCCCTGGTCTTCAACGAACTGGTTTCTTAGTTGTACGTCATTCACAATCAGCTCAAGTACCAGATTGTCCATCAGGCATGGTTAAACTATGGGATGGCTACAGTTTACTTATGATGCAAGGCAACGATCATGGATATCATCAAGATCTTGGTAAATATTTTTTCAAAAAAATAAATAAATACAATTCTTATATCTTGATTAAAGGTTCGGCTGGTTCATGTCTTCAAAAATTTTCTGCATTACCATATTTACGTTGTGATCATACAAATGTTTGTTATTATGGTCAAACAAATGATTTAACATATTATTTATCAACAACAGAACCAATGCCTATGATGCCTGTTCAACGTGAACAAATTCGACCATATATATCACGTTGTGCTGTATGTGAAGCACCTGCTAATGTTATGTCATTCCATAGTTTATCAATGACACCACCACCATGTCCAAATGGTTGGAATATTTTATGGCAAGGTTATAGTTTTGTTATGGTAAGTATTTTAGAATTAAAATATAAATGAAACAAATTAACATATCCTATGCAAATGTGATCGTTTTCTCATGAGTATGTATGTACAAGAGAAACTTATAGGTTGAAAACATAAATTATTTGAACTTTGTATCGTCTGTTTGTCAAACAATAATTTTAATCTATTGTATCATTAGACAAAAAAAAATACTAGAAAAATCAAGATATGCTTTTTGATTGTATTGTTTGTTTTTTACAGCATCTTGGTCGTGGTGCACAAGGCGGCGGTCAATCATTAGCAAGTCCTGGTTCATGTTTGGAAGATTTCCGTGCAACACCATTTATTGAATGTTCTGGAACCGATGGTAATTGCATGTATTATGCTAATAAATTTAGTTATTGGATGACAGTTATTGATCAAAATAATCAATTTGAAGTGCCACGTCAAGAAACATTGAAATCTGGAAATCATAGAAATAAGATAAGTCGTTGTACGGTTTGTTTGAAGACTCAGCAAGGTACTGGTCAAGGTGGTTATCAAAGTGGCAATTATTACGTGGGACAAACATTGAAAAAACATTAGACATTATTAACTAAATTTTTCATTTTTCTTTTTTGATTTTGTCTCTTTCGCGCTCTTTCTTTTTCTTTATTTTCATTTGTAGTTGATGGCAACGAATTTATTTATCTTGATCATCTATATATGTTTATTAGTCGAACATATATTATGATTCAAGATATATTTTGCGAGGAAGGAATAGAAATTATAGCACATGTGGTAATTTGATTGCACTTTGCCATCATCTTTTATATTCCCTCTGTGTCATTTTGTTAACTATTATATCATCATCATCATCATCATCATCATTCAGTGCAAGTTTTTTTTTTTTTCTTTCAATTTTATCTTCATTTATTTTGCCGTATTTTTCTTTTTACTGTATTCTCAATCTTTTACACAATACATATAATCATGACACATACATTTTCATATTTTATCAAACAATGTGTACTTGATTTGTACGGTTGTGTAAAGATCTGCTCTATAATCACCTTTTTTTTTTGTCTTCATTAATCTCTCTTTTTTTATTTTGCTGTCAGTCAGCTCATAGTGTTAGAGTGAGTGTATGAAAGAAAGATATACGTGTGTTTGATTGATTTGAATTTTCTTCTTCTCTCTTTCTTTTCAATAATAAATATCAATCAGTATTCTAAAATACAATTCATCTAATAGTTTATATATATATAATGTTATGAATAGTAATTCAAATATTCAGCAGTGAGAAAAAGAACAAATATCGATAATAATGATTATTATTTCTTTTGTTTCTATTATGAGACTCTCCGTTTCTGACAAAAGAATTTATCAAATGGAACGGTCCATTTCAGTTGAAATTTTCAGGAATGAGTGACCTTATTGAGAAACATTTCTGGTAAATTAAAATTCTGGCTTATTGATAGTCTATTTGTGGTCTTGAAAAGAATTTCGGTGACTTCGCCCTTAAAAGAAACACAGACCACGACAAGGTTTCAGTTTAAGGTTGATATCTGTACGTTGACCTTCAAAGCAAAAAATTACTTACAGCTTGAATCGGATGAAAAGCCTGTTAAAACTTTTTGCCTTTTTTCTAAAACTTGTATATATTCTGAGCAGAATTGGAACCGGTAGTATTTCCGTATCTATCGATATATGATTAATATGCCTTTCTTTTATACGTCTAATGCAAATAACATACAGAAATAGTATGCTAAACAAATTAGATAATTATCAATTGAATAGTGAACTTAAATTAAAATAAAATCTGATGTGAATGTTCCTTCTACCGAGTGCGATCTTAGTGATTCATTTCGTTGTAAATTGACATTAAAAAAAAAGCCAGATATTCAAATCTCAACATCATTTATTAGCTTCAATATCTTTAATAACAGTTATGTATGAATCGAAAAAGCATTGGCAGATTTTACTAACAATATGCAAATGTTACTCAAATTAATTAATTATTTATTCTTCAATATACTATCAAAAATTGTTATATTCATAAAATAAAGATTAAACAGAGAATGATCAATGTTTTTCTATCGATTTAAAATTCTTACTCAAATTTATTTTGACATCATTGACGAATAACATAAAAGTGACAAAATCGAACAAAATAATTAACAAGAATGTAACTTATTTCTATTAGACAGTATTACAACAATTATCATTTGATTTTTGTTTCGAAATATAACCTATAGAATAGAAAAAAAAAAAAGAAAAAATTTAAATGATAATAATTAAAAATATTTTTGTCAAATTATTTACTATTTGTTGGATTAAGATTAACAGCTAATTGAGTTTTTGTAGTTATTTTTTCCATAGATATATTTGGTGAAGTTAATTGTTGTTTAACTAACATTTGATATGTTACACAAGCAACACGTTTAAAAAATTCTTCAACTTGATCACCTAAAATTTATTTTTTCTTTTATATATATATATGAATTATAATTCTTACCTGTCAATGATGAAACAGACCAAAATTCTGCATTGACACGTTTAGCAATTATACGAGCTGTTTGTTCAATTTTTGCATGAATTTTATTATCTGTCTAAAAATAACAATATATTTTAATAGAATAAAATTTTAACTTACTATTAAGTCACGTTTTGAACCAACTAAAAATATGAGTGGATTATCTGTTATTGTTGTTTGTAATGCTTCATTAATCCAACGTTCAGCACTTTTCAATGTATCAAGATCATTCATATCAAATACTGCTATTATAACATGAGCACCACGATAATAAGCAGCTTTTTTTTTTCAAAAATGAAAAAGTATTTTATTAAAATAGGAATATTTAATAAAGAATATTTACCTGCAATACATTTGAATCGTTCTTGACCAGCAGTATCCCATATTTGTAATGATATAGGTACACCCAAAATTAAAAATCTTTCAACTTCAAAATCCACTCCTATTGTTGCTTTATAATTTCGATCAAATGTATTATGACATAACCTAAAAAGTTTAAGTTTCTTTAATGAATAATTGTTTTATTTCTTTTCATTTTATGTCTTTTGTACCTTGTAGCTAAACTTGATTTTCCTACAGCAACATCACCAATAAGAACTAATTTACAAATAAGATTACTTGAAATGAAAAATAAAAATTTATTTAAAAAAAAAACAAAAAAATCATTATTTATTTCATACGATGGTTTTTGACTGCGTTGATTCGTTGAATAATTGATAACACTTTCATCAAAACACGGAAATGGATCTATTGATGACAAATAACCATATGGCTATAGTAACAGAAAAAAAAAATTCCGAATAAAATAACATTGAAAAATAGTATTACAGGTTCGAATTGATCGATTTTTCGATCACTTGGTATTCCATTGTTAAGACTAGATATTGGCATTTGTGATTAGGAGAAGAAAAAAAAAAGTTCACATTCATTTATTCTAGAAATACATTGTCACTTAGTAATATCCTCTCTTGTGATAATCGAACCAATGGATAATAGTGACATCTTTAGAATGCGTTTGGAATATCATAATTTACTTTCTACAAAAGGATGAGTTTTCTTCATGTTCATTTGAAATAATATTGTTTGATTGAGTTTATCAATTACTTTAACCAAAATATGGGTATGTTTCATTTTATGTACCTGTTAAAAAATTCAATGCCAGTATCAATTAAAGCAAGAATAAGCTATTGAACAAAAAAACAAATGAAGAGCCTCATCAACATTCAATATATTATTAATTAACTAACAATACTAGCGATAGATAATTTGATTATTGAATCAACTGAATTTATAGGCATTTCGAAAGTTTTTAATTGTTACTGTTTGTTGATAGATCAATTTTAAAAGAAGATATTTTAGTCAGCATTATTAATAATAACATAACTTTTGAATATATCGTCTTTTCACCATAGGGTTTCGATGATTGTCAAACAGATATCTTCATTCGTACTGAATTCTGATAATAGAATATTTTGTTGATATATAAAGTTTGGAGATCCAGATCAATTTTGAGGAACAACTCAATGTAATTGTAATTGAATATGTAGAGGACCTCAACTATGTTCCAAAATAATGAAATTTTCAGTTTTTGCTGAACTTTTAGTTCTGAGCATTTTGATTAAAAAGAAAAAAAAAGCTTTCCAAAAACTTTTATTTTGTCGGAAATAGATTCAAAATATCATAAATGGTGAAGAACACTCAACAACAATATGTCAAAGTTACGCAAAAAATTGTTTATTTGAAAGATTTTTGGTTTTTCACTGCTCAGTGTTCTGAGTCTATTTTCGACAGAATAAAAGCTTTTTGGAAAATTTGTTTTATCAAAATGCTCAGAACCAAAAAGCTCAACAAACAATGAAAATTTCATCACTTTGAAACATAGCTGTGACTCTCTACATATTCAATTACAATTATATTGAGTTGTTCCTAAAAATTGATTTGGATCTTCAAACTTTATGTATCAAAAAAAAAAGAGTTTTTACTATTATCCCTAATCGTTTTCGACGACTTTACATCTAACTAGCATATCAAAATCGGAAAAATTTTTTTTTTCAAATTATGGTAGAAACCCCACGTTTTCGTCCAGTGTTGATTTCTATCGTACGATTAACGTTTACTCGAATTCGAGTATAAAACTCTTTTATCAATCGTCAATAATTCGGTAAAGTCTTGAATGGTCTTTATTTCTATATATGTATTCAACAAATCAATCATCTCATTTTTTTTAACTAGCATTCCTTATTATGAACAAGTAAATTAGTTTTGACGGCTCCAATCAATGAATACGTCATTTTATTGATGTTGTACATCGTAAAAATTGTATTTTGCAAATAGACTAAAAAATCGAAATGAAAATATAAAATCATTTGTCGTATCCGTTAAAACTCTATTAATTCAGTAGAAGTGTATAACACCACATATTTTAATTGTCGAAAACCTACTATTGATATTATCGTTTAGAAAGAGTAGACAATTCAATTATCGAACGGATAATTGAAGATATGTCAACATGTCACCGAATAAAATACAAAACATAACCAATCATATTTTTCTGTAAAACATATTGATTGTCATCATCTGAAAAAAAATAAATACGAAATAGTTTGAAATTTTAATAAAAACATCCAATTTAAACATATGGAACAAAAATAGATTTTAAAATTATTGGTTCATCCATTTCAATTACTCAATCATATATAAAAATTTCATTAACATGAAAAGAAATGACTCATCTTTTTTTCTTTTTTAATATTAATATTTATTATGCCATTTAATATTTTCGTTCATAAGTAATGGAAAAGATAGATTAGGTACAATATGTGGAACATTACCAAAGATAATTTTACATGAACATTTGTAGAGAGAGAAAAGAAAAATAAAAGAGTACATATTCCGACGTTTAACGACAAGGAAGTATAGAGTAGTATGAACAAAGAGAGATAGAGAGATACATCAATCTTTCACATATGGGTAAGAAAAAACTTGAAGACAAAGTGACTGATGTACGTGTTTGACTTCAAGAAACAGCCATATTGCTTGGTATGGACATTGTCAAACTCTATTAAATCGATAATGCAGTGCTTGGCTTGCTCGCACAATCTATCGGGGAATATACTGTTGGACCTAAATCCCATAGATTTGAACCACTCCGTATGAGGAGAGGTTATGATCGCGTAGGCTGACTATGTTAGTTGAAAAGCAATAGCTTCATCAGCAGTGAGTAGGCGGTGGATCAAGCGGTGCCAGTATCTCTAGAGATAGTCATAGATCGACTTCTCTCTAGAAAGAACTAACGTCGTAAAGTCGTCCCACTGTGCGAGAGAGTATACTATCCGAAGTTCTGTGCAGTACATATGCACAATACGTTCTTTTTGTATTTCAGTGAAGAAGAACCACGTACAGAATAACTATAGAAAGTGTGGCAGAGCGTAGGATAAGAAGATATGTCTTCTTATTTTAATATCATTCTTTCTAATTGTTCTAAAGATTATACGCATTGCTTGATATATCTGACTGATAATCTTCAGTCATTCATTAGAAATGACTCGTCTTTGAGAACAGGTCGGTTGCAAAGACTTTAAAAAAATATTAATAAAATAATACTCTATTCAAACTTAAAGCCTTTCAAACAGTTTTAGTATCTTGATGAGAAAGCAAATAACCGTAAACATATTTACCAGAAGATATTATTTATATAAGATCTGGTAATTATCGTCGACTAAGTCAAAGATAATACATACTTAATTAGAATCATATGTGAATAAGTCAATTTCTTATATTAAAAAACTCTATGTATTTAAATTCATACATGTCAAACTTATGAATATTTTCATCAAAACATATTTATTTCAATAATCAAATAAAATGAAAATACCATAAAAAATACACTACAATGTATAGAAAAACTTAGTAGTCAATTCGACTATCCAATTGAATATTAAAATTTCTTTCGAAAGCTACTTAGCACAAATGAATTTAAAAAGATTAACTTTCCTCTTTAGACAACATTGCAACAAACAAATTTTTTAACTTCATGATTTGCTTTAAGATTTGTGCGATATTCAGGAAACTGAGCACACTGCATATAGAATGTGTGTAAACCAATCACTCACTCACACCTGAAGTACATCCTCAAACTGTACTCATCATTAATGAGATTATAACATTTTCTGATTTTCGTCTAATCAACGGACAAGAAACAAGTATTTAGCCAGGAATGCCGATTCTCTAATAATGTTTCACAATTATTGCACGAAGGAATATCATACGATTCTCCAATTTTTAGATCATCGTAATACTGAAAAAATATTGGAAAATAGTATAACAAGCTCGATTTGAACAATCTTTCGATCATTTGATCTTGTATTTGTAAGGTTAGAAATTGTCATTTGTGGTTAAGAGAAGAAAAAAAAGATCCATGATCATTGATTGTAGAAATCGATCGTCACTTAGCAGTATCTTCTCTTATGTTAATTGAACAAATGAACAGACATGACATCTCAAGGATAGATTTGATATTTTTTTATTATTGAACACAAAAAAAAAACAGAATGAAATTAATTTATTTCATAATTCTTCTTTATTTGAGTTTTCTTCCGCTTTATTTTTTTTTTATATCATTTATCTGTTATTATAAATCAATAGATGCATTATTTTTTATAAGATCTATAATAAAAGAAAACAAAAACGAGTTATTAAGTAATAAATATGATTGATGACTTACTTTCAACAAAATGGCGAATATTTTTCATATTTATTTTAAATAATATTCTTTGACTGAATAGATTTAAAATATGATTAATTTTATCAATTAGTTTAGCTATAAATATGGACATTTTTCATTCTAATCATCTGGTAAGAATTCAATATGATCATCAATTAAAGTAAGAATAATTTATTGAAGAAAAAATAAAAATGAAGAGCCTCATCAAGATTCAATGCATCATTAACTTACAATACTATCAACAGATAATTTGATTGTTGAATTTGTTACATTTTGAAAGCTTTTTAATTGATGTTTTTCTGTTAATCGATCAATCGATCGATTATAAGACATAATAACATAAATTTTTGTATATATCATATTTACTAAATTGTTCTCATGCTTGTCAAACTAATATTTTCATTTTTTTTTTACAAATAAAATATCTTCTCGATTTTATTATACAACGTTATTCATTATTTCTTACGTAATATATGAGTTGAATTATTATAGCAGAAAAAAAAAAAAAAAAATTTAATTAAGTTATAAAATTAATGAAAATATTTTTTATTTGATCGTTGACAAATGACTATTTCAATAATTAAATAGAATTTCTATATTGACAATTAACCAATTTTTATCTTTATCCCATGAGACAATTATAATCGATTGTATAATAATACCAAAGGGTACATTTCATCATTTTATCAAAGACAAAGAATGTCAACTATATATATATATATTGATAGACATATATAGATAAACAAACTTTCAGACTCTCTAAAAAAAAAAACATGTTTTACATTTATGTCTTTTTTGCACGACCAGGAAATGCTTCATTTTTAACCTATACTTAGATCATTTCCGTTATCAACAATGACTAAATCAAATTCAATGTTCATGTTTTTCTTTTTCGAAAAAATATTAATTATAAGGTACTAAAAGATTTTTCTTCTAGATAATTGAACGTTATTTATAAATAACATATAGAATAAATTTTATATTTTAATTTAGCTTTTCAAAAATGAGATTTATTGACATGAACTTATATGGATTATGATGAGTCATTTTTGTCTAATCTTAATTGTTATGAATTAAAAAAATTCATCAAAATATTCTTTCTTAAGATGAACTTCATTTTATTGTAAGTTGGAGAAAGAAAAAAAAGCGAAGAAAATGCAATTTGAAA